TTGCTTGGTTGACTTTGATCAATCCAAAACTTGATCGACTCACCCAACAAGTGTATCAATCAAGTGCTGAAATATTCTTTCTTTTTCAACTAACCTGGAAGTCAAAATTGGGTCACATTTGATCGACTCAAAACTAGACATACTCATCCAATTGCAATCTGAAATTGAAATCAAAACATTGATTGATTCAAACATTGATCCTTTGGATTGGTCACAAACTGCTGGAGTTGACGAGCAGAAACCTCGAAGACAAGAGTCAAGCGGTCATCGGACCAAGGCAAATGAAAATCTAACCCAAAAAGGTAACCGGGCAAAGCAACAGGGCTTTCTACCTGTGAAACTCACTCTCTTCTGCAATCTTCAAATTGCTTTGTGAGGTGCATTGCTTGTCGGTCAAAAAAATCAAAAAAAGAGCGAAAATTTTGCCCAATGCCTATTATTGAGGGAGGAGCAAGGGATTTGGTCAAGTTTTTTTGAATGTAAAGTGTGGTGAAGTGTGTGTAGTGTAGGAAATTCTTTTACATCATGCACCTCAATAAGAGCTCTCCGGGGTCCCACATACACTGACTCAAATCTGTGGTGTAATTTCAGCAACTCAACTTCATGTAACACACTTCCTGTTACTGTCAAATGGCTTCCAGAGTGCTGCCTGGGTAGCTGGAGGTATATATAGTCAATTTTTGGGACAATTTTGTCAAACTGGAAACCGTTACATGATTTAATCTCACAGTGATTTACTTGCATATTCAGATGAGTAGGGAACTGAGCTGAGGCTATGACCCGGAATTGGACCTTCAGGGCCGGCCACGAGGCCGTGTCAGATCCGGCCTCAGCCACACAAGACATGAATGCTACCGGGCAGCACTGGGCAGGCCCTGGCTTGGGCCAGCCCCTTGTGAGCTAGTTTGAGAGTGCAGGACGGATGCTTGATGATGTCAATTTTTCCAGAAAATTGCCTCAACAAGCCCTTTACCAATGCCTCCACAAAGATTTTCCCAATGGCCCTGGCCCCAAGTAGCCTTGTAGTGGGTCCTTTGTTGCTATTACCAGGCTGAGCTTGAGGCCCCAGGCTTGGCCTCAACCTAGTCTGGGAAGTGCTTGGGTAGACTTGGCCAGGCAGGTCCAGGGCCAAGTCATAGCCCTAAACTGAGCAGACCTGTCTGTCCAAGCAGACACAGAAAAGATATGTCACCCTTGGGGTCAATGTCAGCCCTGAGTACATATACATGTACCCAAAACTAACCTGTAACAGTAAGAAACATATGTATAAGATTAACTACATGTTACATACTGAGCATAGACTGTATGTAACATGTAATACAATGTATTAAAACCTTTATTACATATATATGGACCTGTAAAACAACATGTAATATGTAACAAAACACCAATTACAACTCATAACTCAGTGTCAAGAGTTAAATGCTTATATTACATACCACACACAAGGTGTATATGTAATTAAGCATTACTAGTAACAATCAGTACTACATGTCAATAACTAAACCTGAACCAATGTAGTGATAATAACAAATATCACTACAGTTAGGTTTGGAGAGGAGAGTATATAAACCCTCCTCTCTCAGCCTTCAGAGAATCCCCCAAGCAATTATTACCCACTAATTTTAAAGAACAATTAAAGTTCAACTGAAGTAAAATATCAAGAGTCTTATACAAATAAGACTAGTGATAAGCTTCATCAACTTCAATCAGATTCCTGATCAAAAGTAGGTAATACAATTCTTCATTTCCCTCTGGATCCTCTACTTCCCCTAAGTAGAAACCCAATCAAGGCTAGTGACCTTAAGAAGAACTTCAGGCTGGTGACCTTAAGAATAACCCTAAGTTGGTGACTTTAAGGACAACCAGATTGGTGAACTAACTCACTCTTTGATCTGTTACAATAAAGATTAAAGGAAGGTCCAGGATCCAACCTTCATATATTATAATAGACATCATATTATAATTACTGAATCTCCTTTTTAGGAGTCAATTAACTGAAGTCTGTCTGGATTTGTCCAAACAGACTGTCAGTCCCCTTTCTTCTCTTTAATTTTCCTTCTTTACTTCAATTTGTAACTACTACATATTTGAAATAAAGAAGTTAAATTTAATAAACCTACCATTCTACCCTTCAGTGAGCACTGAGTACTCCTACAAAGAGCACCCAGTCCTCACAGTCAAGGTATTGCTATCACATATGTAATACACCCAAATGTAAGCCAGTTTGGCCCCAAGGGTGGCATATCTTTTCTGTGTCTACTTGTAAATGATAGCCACCTAATTACTCAGCCTGCTGCACACATGTAATGGGGGTGTTGTGTCTCAGATGCACAGTGGTAGATATTTTTATGACAAACTATACTCTCAATCATTTTCCCATTCCCACTTGAGGAAAATGTGTAATTTTGGCAGTGATGCTAGTCCTTTTTGCCAGATCCTTGATAATCTAAACTGATTGATTCATTCAAGATTTCTTTTCTCACAAAGTGTTCTACCTCAAGACCGCTTTGTGATCATGTAGTGGAATTGGACCATACAGTTCTCAAAGATAAAACAAGGCAAAAGTAATTGGAGAGTTTGGCACTGCAAAGCTTCAAACAACACCATTTCTTCACAAAGCAGTAGGGCCTAATTAAAGTACTCAAAGTTGTATAGTTACGTGTATATAGTTTTCTTTTATACTTTTTTGGCTCTCTGGCAGAAAAAAAGTATACTGGGGTCCCAAAGTATCCTAGCTTTGAGGACCTGTTGCACACTTTGCTCATCATGTGCTATTGTTATTTCATCCCAGCCTTTGAAAAAGGGTAAATTACCCAACAAGATGTACTTTATAGTTTTTGTTTATAGTTGTAAAAAAACAAGAGAACTATATATAAAAAACTATACACAACTTTAAGTAGCGTAAATATTCCCCAGTTGGACATGTGAGCCATAAAATCTTGGCTCAAGAGTTGATCAACCCTCTTCACTTGTGGCTGATAGATGTCCTTTGTAACTCAGAAATGCCATGCTCTCTGCTTTTGACTACACTCACTTAGGTAACTTCTAATTATCTGCTCATGTCTCAGGAATATGTGACCTCAACTTAACAATTTCTTACAAAGCTGTTCATACTGCCAATTTGAAGGCTTACCACCAGATGAGCTGGGTTGTTGCCAAAAAAACCCTTTTTCAAGTCTGTTTTTGGACATTTTGTCATGATACATAGATAGTTATAAGCAGTGTATGTAGTCTAAGTGGGAGGATAAAGTGTTTCTTGGGTTAAGAGTGGACTAGTTGAAAAACTCATCAGCTACACTTATCTAGCCCATACACCAAATTTTGTGGATAAGCCATCAGTCCTTCCCATGTAAGCTGAATCCCCAGCAGGGACTTGATCAACTTAGCTGTAGTTATCTGAACTTGTCCTATCCAGATATGACACCTGCATGGGAAATCTTTGTTCCTTGAGCTTTGTTTACACAGTGAACAAAAGTGTTTGTGCAGTTTTCAAGTGTAATACAGAGTTGGAGTCAAAGTAATTCATTCAAGAGAAGATGAAACCCAGCTCTGGACCAGTCCACATCATATCACACATGAAATCATGAATCCAGTGAAAACCACTCAAACACCCAAGGTACCACAAAGCCTTGAGATATGGATGTAGACTAATCTGAAGCCCAATGAAAAGTGGTCTACATCATAGATAACAAGATATGAATTCCATGGATTTATTGCATTACACAGCCAAGCTCAACCCTACTCCTTTTACCTTCAAGTTGCATCTCAAGACACCAAGAAATCCCAAAATATGTAGTATCTTGCACTATCTTTCCGCCCACAATTGTTGTCCTTTCAATGTTCTTTGATCACAGTGGTGTGAAAATGTAAACCAATCTTCTGATTGTTTTTTATAAACAGGTCACTGGATGGTCTTTATCTTGGCCAGGCTGAGACAACCCTCAAACCAACTGTGCCTCAGGCAGCTTGCTACATGTAACATTATCATAACCTGGCCCAGGTCTTGGCCCCAAGCTATGCTGACTCTGCTGAGAGCTGATCGGGCATTCCGGCGCCGACCCAAGGCCACGGCCGGGCCTTGAACCGTCACCCGAGCGGCGCAGCTGGTTTGACTCGGAATTCGGACTTGTCGTCTATTGATGATGTCACACGAAACATGCGAGAACGACATTAAAAGAAAAGGAGCAAGGTACAAGATCCAACAACTTCGCCACCAGCCTTCAATCGCGTCACAGTCATCACATCAATATTTTCGAAGGGAGTACATACAGAATGGAGGAAAATAATACCAAAGCATGCAGCGAGGACGAGGGCGATCAGAAAAATTCACTACGTCATAGAAGGAAAGGTCAAGTTAACAAACCACCAAAGATTAACTCAGGTTTGAAGTATCAAGATGCCAAGAGCCAATCAGGCGAAACCGAAAATAGGTAAAGAGAAATATGGTGTACTCAGGGCATGAAACATCGATCATTGGTATTTCAGATGGCTGACATGATATTTGTGTAATCTTCATCAAGTCCTCTATCCGAAAATTTTACTGCAACATTGAAGGTTGGACGCCACGGGGACGTGAAACTGTTAGCTGTTAGTTGGTCATCCCCTTTAAGCAATTAGATAAAGACAAGTGCAACTTGCCCTCAGCTCGACTGAGCAATTCAATTGACAATCTTCCCTGATCAAACAGCCTGGTACACCGTGGAACGAGATAGATTTGTCCGAGTCATTTCTCATCGAAGATAAACAGCTTGGCACAAGCAGCCGTCATACCCAAGGCATTTTTGCACGTCGAAGATGGTTCTTTATTATCGGTGGTCTTCTCGGCGCTTTCTTAGGATGGTATGTCATTCAAGGTTTCTATCTGTTGCATATCTGGCACGTAAGCTTGAGCTAACTTGATTCTGAAATTGAAATCCATTGACTAAAACAGGCTATTCACAGACGCACCGACGTCTTTTTCAGACTTGGATTTTGATCTAGATCAAACTTTTTCAAACATGAAAGAGATGATCAACGCGAGAGAGTTATCGAGTATGTTACCTCAATTGAATCTTTCGGACGTGTTTCCATCCTCCTCCAATAAATCTTGGCTTAAAAATCACGATTTCACGGTAGGTTTCTTCCTAAACTTGAAATTTCGATTCTAAAACTGAGCAATCTTCTATCTAAATTTGAACTTCCGATTTCCCCCTATATCTCACACCTCGAAGGTTGGAAGACAAGCATTATCAAACGGATTGCAAAAGAAACACGCAGTTTTGTTGATCCCTGGAATTATCTCCAGCGTACGTGAACTGTTTTCAGTCAAGACAATGATCTCAGATATCTTCTATTCGAATCTCACATTTTCGGAAAAAGGGCTTGGAGAGCTGGGGTACAACAGAAGAACACGCACCATTCTTCCGCAATCGAATTTGGGGGACCGCAGCTATGGTATGATCCCCAGTCTCTTTTTGCTTCTTCACTTCAAAATTACAAATATGACTAATCTTCACGTCCTGTATCGTAGTTGAGGGCTGTAGTAACCAGGAAAGAAGCTTGGCTGAAAGCTATCAAGCTAGATCTTGAAACAGGTCTGGATCCACCTGGCGTCAAAGTCAGAGCTGCTCAAGGGTTTGATGCAGCGGCTTACTTTGTTCAGGGATATTGGTATGCGCATCATCTTCCTTGCTCTAACCACTGCTGCATACCTCGCTTTGATATCATACTGACCAAACCAATTGCATCATTTTCTTGAATAGGATATGGCAAAAAATCATCGAAAGTCAGTTGACACATGTCTTTCTGACGGTATCGAATGCAGACAATCACTGATCCTCCTTATGTGTTGTGAGAGTCAGATTTGGCAGTACTGGATTACGATCCATTGGATATGTCACTAATGGCGTATGACTGGCGCCTAACCCCATTGAACTTGGAGATTCGTGATCGATATTTTTCTCGTATGAAAGTCGCCATTGAACATTCCAAGCAAATCCTCGGGAAAAAGACTGTACTTGTCAGTCATAGTATGGGTGGGAGCATCGTGCTCTTTTTTCTCAAGTTGAGTCACTTATGAATAAAGATGACTGGCACATCGCGTCTCACTTGTCCCTAAATCCGATGGATGACTGGTCTCATATCTTTGTTCGTCTTCATTTTAGATGGGTAGAAGCTAGTGGTGAGCATTTTGGAAATGGGGGCGCAGACTGGGTAGAGAACCATATAGAAAGCTTCGTGAATATCGCAGGAACGACTTTAGGTGTGTCTCGACTTTTCACTCGTTATTTTTTAATTTGAATTCTGATGTGTCTTCGATAGGCGTTCCAAAGACTCTGGCGGCTTTGTTGAGTGGTGAAATGCGAGACACGGTAGAATTAAATGCTGCGGGGGTTTATGTGCTTGAAAAGCTTTTCTCAAGAAAAGAGCGAGCTGATTTGTTCAGGTCTTGGGCCGGGTCAGCAGCACTTTGGCCTAAAGGTGGCAATGTCATTTGGGTTAGTAATTCTTTCGGTTATATTCGCTGGATTACATTGAAACGAGCTCTTGACTCCCTTCGTTTTCCCCAGGGTACTGCTCAAGGAGCGCCAGATGATCCAGAAAATGCCACATTGACCAGCGGAAACGTGAGTGACGATATCCGCTGCTGATATTTTCTATGTAACCGACTTTCGGGTTGATTTTACCACCAGGTCTACAATTTCCGACCAAATGATAAGACGTCAACAAAAAATCTAACGATGGAAGGGGCCTACGAGTACTTGCTACAACATACACCAACTCAATATGGAAAGATGCTTCAGACAAACCATAGTTTTGGAATCACAACAGATGAAGAAGAATTGAAGGCAAACAATGGTGATTTTAGAAAATGGACCAATCCGCTTGAAGTTCAATTACCTAATGCCAAGAGCATGTCGATCTACTGTTTATACGGAGTTGGCAAACCCACCGAAGTCAGTGTATTTGTTTTAATTGGAAAATAGGAAGTTCATCAAAATCTTATCGAATTTTGTTGGATTCTAGAGGGGGTACTGGTACAAGGAAGATGAAGATGAGGTAACCGGAAGTCAACATGTATATGTTGACAATGAAGTCAGTCTTGACGAAGAGCGACCAAAGATCAAGAATGGCGTGACCTTCAGTGATGGTGATGGAACAGTCTCACTCCTTAGTCTAGGTGCAATGTGTGTGGATGGATGGCAAAGGAAGAGTTATAATCCAGCTGGTGTAAGAACCCTTCTCTGCTTCTTTATGGGGATGGAATTGACGGAGAATCTATGCTGTTTGTCGGGGCGGAGGTATTTCATCAACAGATTCGAGTGGTGACGCACGAGATTGAACATCGACCGCAAGGCTTTGATATCAGAGGAGGCTCTACCACTGCAGATCGTACGTAAAATTTGTTTCGTTGGACATGGAAGCGAGTTTCACCCGCACCAGGGAACAGTATATACTGATTTAATTTGCTCACACGCAGATATTGATATTCTTGGATCAGCCGAATTGAATGAAGCGATTATCAATATTGTGTCTGGACGAGAAGAACTTGTGAAGGAAAAGATCGTCTCAGAGATTAAAAGTTATGTGAAACGGATCAGATGGCCTGCTTGAATAAGTTTTGTATATTAGAAGAGAGGTTGTAGGGGTGTTGCCGCTTAGATTCCGTTTGGATGTGAAGGTAGTGGGTCTGATGACTTGTAAGATATGAATCAAATGATAAAAGCATCTTTCTTGTATCCATCATAATATACGTCTCTTATATCTATTCGAACTTGATGATAGCGAAAAAGCAGTTTGGTGTACATCATCACAAATTATTTTGCTTCTCACTAAAACAAACAGGGTTCCATTGACTGTCTCAATTGCAAAATGAGTAAGATGTAATTGGACCTTGTTTGGCTGTTTATGAGAGCAGGAAGGAGGAGACAGTTGAGTTATGCATGCCAGTTCTTCCCTTGAAAAATTGTGCGACCATTTTTGATCTTCATATTGCCTCAAAGTGTTGAGCACCGAGCTCGAGGATGTTGAGAAGTAGCAATTTGTATCCTGAGGGTTTGCACGGTACTACCACAATTGATGGTAAGTCTCTGGCTTGATGCTTTGGCTGTTAGGAAGGTTAATGAGTCAAACCGCAAAATCTGAAAATTCCACATGAAACTTTTTCTCAAAGCCCTGTCGAGCCTATCCCGAACATGAGTCCGCTGCCTCGGATGACAGTCGACAACACAAATGACCTGAGATTGAGCTCGGAGGTAAATAATCGCGGCATGGCAGGTACTGAAGACCGTCGGGAGAACGCGAGGCTAGGTGAAACAGACCTTGTGCCACAATAGAGAGAAGGCATTTGTAAGCACGACATAAGATACCGAGGCGGCTGAAATCTTCTTTGACCAAAGCATCTCTAGATTTCTGTTTCCAGGAAGCCGTAGGTCTTTTGACCAGCATATATGGTTCCCGGAGCAGATTAATGCTCTTGACCAGGACGAAGACTGATGCCGAAACCCAAACAGAAGAAAGGTAAAGAAGGCGGTGAAACCTAACAAACACCTCTGATGTTGTGCTGAGCAAGTAAGTTAAGAACTGAAGCATCAGAACCTGATCTCGACAGTGAACAGGAGGCTGGTTGAAGGAAAGCTTTTCGACTACATCTGACTGACAAGAGTCCCATTGAACCATGCACCGCGACCGTCAACGCAGAGGGCGGGACAACAAAGATGGCTCATGGAGAGGATGGCCTGCAAGCAGCACAACATCAGCCACGCTCAATCGAGATGTTTGCCCGCTCAAGATGAAATTACGGCTCGCCATCAAAACACGCACTGCAAGAGTAGCTTCAAATTAATCCCAGAGGTTTGGGGAAAATCCTTCTACCCCCCCTTGCTTTCATATCTTCCCCTCAGACAAGCAAACCACCACTATCTCTACGCCCTTCGTTACCTAACTCAACCGCTCTCATACTCGTGAACCAACTACTTAGTGCGTACACCCATCAGGTTGAACAATGCTCTCTTTCGCATCCACGCCGAAACTCGTATGGGCTACGATATCATTGGCAGGGGCAGTGATGGCCAAAAAAGACACTCTGAGGATCTTTGTTGGAGGTAGGTGTGATAAGATAGTATGCCCAGGACACAAGTTGATAAAGGGCGCTTAAAAATATGAATTTTTGTAGGTTATGCCGGAGAAGTTACCACCCTAGATTTCGATACTTCTTCTTATATTTTTCAAAATCTGTCTGTTTCCAAGGAAATGGGAGAAAAACCAGGGTGGTTGACGCTGGATCCTACTGGGAAATATATCTTCAGGTCAGCTTTTACTTTTCAATCAGGATTAAAGTCCTGAGTAGAACATTGATACTGATTCCTGATTCACTTATTATACCAAATCGCAATAGTACGGATGAAGTCTCAAATTTCCAGGGAAAGAAAGACACTGGGGGTGTTTACTCTGGCCAGATTGACTCGGATGGGGTGATTACCGCTGTTTCAAGCGCTAAAACGGGAAGCATTCCTGCTGCCGCCCAAGTTTCCCCCGATGGCCGCTTTCTCTTGGTAGCATCTTAGTGAGTTTGAATGCGCATCTCTTTTGGCTGAGCCTACGACTGATCATACCTCTCTAACATCTACATTGGGAATGTTCGTAAACTGAAGTGCCGGTGCCGCCGTCGACCTGTTCAAGATTGAGAAGAAGAGTGAAATTCTGTCGAGCGAGCCAGTTCAAACCGTACACCTTCACGGCTCAGGACCTAATACGCAACGTCAAAGACACGGTCAGTTCTGGGTTCATTGAATAATCGTAGCCCTTGATAGAAGAAGTCCTACCAATAAGCTTACCCCCATGGATCTTTGTCGGACAGCTTTTGCACATCAGGCAGTTTATGACAAGGGTGGTCGATTAGCGTTCGTGCCAGATTTGGGTGCTGATAAACTGCGAATATTCGAGGTCAATGATCCAAGTGGGCGCCTGTCCGAAGTCGAGCCGGTCATCTTCCCCCCCGGAACTGGTCCTCGCCACTTGGTCATTGTCGAAAACTTTATCTATGTTGTCTGCGAGCTTTCCAGTAGGATATTTATCTTGAAGCTGGATCGTTCAAGTCAAGACGGTCACAAGGCTGAAATCATCGGCGCGCTCGGGACACTACCTACGGACGCAAATGCAGATAACTTTGGTGCTGGAGAGATTGCGGCCTCGCCCGATGGTCACTTTATCTATGCTACCAACAGACCCATGTCAACCGCAGGACCGATCGAAGACAACACATTTGCTGTCTTTGCTCGATCTTCAGACGATGGCATGCTTGATTCACCTACCTTTTACCCGGTGGGTGGTAGAACAGCTAGACACTTTGCGATCAGTCATGATACCGTCGGTCGCTTTGTTGTCGTTGGCGCAGTTGATAGCAACTTGGTCATCATCCATCGAAGAGATCCTATGACTGGAGCTCTCATGCAGATTGCTCGTACCAAGGTCAAGAAGCCTAGCGTCCAAATATTTGCTATCTAACATTCACCCTATCATTAATCACATCCTTTTCCTTCTCTCAATCTCTGGACGCTTACATCATGCATGTCTAATTTTCAATTCTGGGTTTCTTATTATTACTAATTTGTGGGTTAATGATCTTGTTCATATTTTTTCCTCTGAAGCAGAATAATGTTGTATCACTTGGGCGTATTGACTTTAGTTGACAAATTTAAACACATAATTATGATACACAAAATAGATGCGTCTGGTGAGTCGGTGACCACTTCCGTTCGAGAACAGCGGGCTCATACTTCAGTTTATTCAGAATCTGAAGCTTGAACATCAGCTCATCCAGCAGCCCTGTACTAGTAGAAATCCTGACACACCAGAAGGCTGCTCAAGGCATCAACGGGGTTCAACTTGGCCAAGAGCGTCAACTTCAACCCGACTACTGGCCGAAGCCTTTGACTCCATTGACTGCAATTTTTGGTCTTTTTAAAGTGACAGATCGTGTCACGGTTATCCACAATTTTGTCCATGGGACGACTTTGTCTTGGTTCTCGCAACAAAATTCTTGGACACGTTTCCAGAACCAGCCGAGGCCAAGTTACCACGTGGTGTATGGTGGCTTTAGACACAAAGATATATATCAATCTTGGTCTTCTTCTCAAAAACGGAAAGATTCAATTCCTATCTTGGTATGAGTTCCGTTCCCAATTAGCTGCATTGAACCTTTGAAGAAAGAGTCAGTCATCAAAGACAGATTATTTGAAGTCTCTTCTTCAAGAGTTTTGAACCACTTGAAAATATCACTGATCCACAAAATGTCACTCATATATCTTACAGGTTGACAGATTGGTAATTATGCTTATATCGATGCATATGCTATTCTGTTGTAGACTACTTGTGTTCTAGTACGCGATCTTTTGGTAAAACGCGCTTTTAACCAATTATGATGAGTTGATTTGATAACTCACTTCACTTCTACGATCTTCAAACTTCTCGAAATTATCTATGAATGCCAGAACATAATCAGCATTGACACACATCTCGACATTCAGATTTCGCATAGAAGCGCAATCGCGTTCTCAGGACAAACACTCATAAACGCTAGTCTGACCTCTCACTCTACTCATGGCAAAGACTTCGAGCATTCCGCGATATTATAACCGCTCAAAACCGATTCCTAGAAACATCCCTTCATCGCCCTCAAAATCCAATGGCTCAGCCACCCTCTTAACGGACCAAAAGGGAAAAGATACAGACTCAGAAGAAGATCAAGACGAAGAAGACGACGACGAAGACGAAGACGAAAACGAAGATCACAATGATCACCTCACTTCTCATAAACCAGATCATCAAGCGCCTGAATCATCTCTATGGATGTTCCAGGGCAAGTTTGGAACTGCACAGAAAGGCTCCTTAGGTGACAACAGTACAAACTTTCTTGGAGGAGTTACCGCCCCTTGGGACATGGAAGGCATGAACGACCAAGATGGACAGCTTTTAGGAGCGGATACAAGCCAGCTGTTCCCAATTCCGAGAGATACTGGTCAGTCCTCCGTCGTTGCTAATACGCAATTTGTGCATTTTTGATCAAATCACTAACAAACTCTTCTTCAACAATACTTCTGGGTTAATCTTCTATCAGTCAGAAATTCAGCAAAGCGCCCGGTATCAAGTAAAGAAGGTGTCCTTCTATCCCCAAACCGTACTTTGATGAAAGGACAGCGATTGAAAAACCTCGAGCCCGATTCACACATCAATCTTGCCATCAATTCAGCACCCAAAACTCACCAATCTGCGCTGCCTAGGCCTGGCTCTTCTAAGAATACTCTACCTCTTGGTCCAGCAGAACTCAATACTCTCGAAAATCATATGCTAAGACGAGATGTGGGTCGAGCAGAGGTGGAAACAACTGTGAGCAAGACCCCTGGTGCGAATCTTGCATCAAGGTTATCGTCTTTGCCGCCAGACCTTCCACCCTCTGCTATCAAGAAACACGTGACTCTAGGTGGCGCGGTCCCGAAGTCTACCAAGAAGGCGCGATTTGCTCCGTCGGAAGAAGAAGACAGCCGTGTAGATGCTTTTCCTCCTAAACAACCCATCCCGATGCTGAAAGCTGGACAAGAAAGTCAAACGACCTCTCTTGAAGCCAAAAAAGGTCTAGAGAACGAAGGACCAATCCAACAGCCCATGGACGTCTTTGGCCCCAAGGATGTTGTACCACTGCATCCCTGGAATTCGGCCGTCCCAATATCGTTGGTTACACCTATCTCGCCCGATCGACCCTCCTACCCCATTTCACAATCCAAAGATCATCCGACTCGCGATACGTCTGTGGCACTCAACAGCAGGCACTCATCAGAGACAAATGTCCCAGCCCCTCAAAATCCTCAGGCCAAGCGAAGCAAAACGCACACCCCTCTAGCGAGCTTTAATAGGGTATCTAGAAGCCCCTCAACCAAGCAGAAATCCATTCAAGGTACTGCATCCCAGTCTGTAGACCCTGCTTCAACACGTTCTTCTTCAATGTCCAAAACCGAGCTGCTCAAACCTACCCGCGTAATGCGAAATCTGCCAAACATCGCTACTAGCTCGCAACATAGGACGGCGAGGTCGACTTCTGAAGAGAGTAATCATGCCCCAATTAAGCCACACAGTAGTCAACAACTCGTTGAACCCTCGCAGACTAAATCCCGACTTACAAAGCAGGTTGCTGCTGTCTCTCAAATTGTTACCGACGCGTCCGGTGCTTCTGAAGTGCCCGGTGTCGAATTTACAACGTCTCACTCTATGAACCTTGGCGCCACATCTACCTCTTCGAACCCTACTGGATCTTCAGGTGGCGCTTCAGATGCAACCGAAGTAGAAGAGCTGCGTAGTAACCAACACCCTGTAAAGCCTAGTTCCAACCTCACTAACAGAATTCATGTGAGCGAAATGAACGTTCGAAGACTCAGTACTCTCATAGAGCTTCCTACACCAAATTCCACCTTTGAAAACCAGAAGAGCGCGTCAACACTGAGGAACTCTTTTGACACCACTGACTTGTCGATATTGAGTAAGGCCGGAGGTTTTCCTAATACTTCAACCCCATACCACACTGGTCCGATCAGTTTGCCACTACCTCCCGATACAATTCGTCTCTCTGCTTCACGACCAAAGCGAAGTGCACGTCGTTCCTCCATAGGACTATCGCCTACCAAAGGCCCATCGATTGTGCCCCTGGATATGTCTAATGTGTCTGTTCAAGTAAAAAGTGTCAAAACTGTCGATACCAAAAGTAAACCACATCGTGAGGTGACTTCGCAGGCGTCATCCAACACGAAATCTTCACATGAAGTGGACACATCTCAAGTTCAGGTCTCCAAGTCCGCAGAACCCGCAAGCCAGCAGCATCGTCCGCCCCAGCCGCCAACAGTGAACATTAAATCTACACAGGTCAATTCAAATGCTCAAAAAAGAGCTGACGAAGGCGACATCGATCGACGCCAAGGTGCCTCTTCTCAGCAGGCACTTGATAGCTCTACTCAAGCTATCGCTGCCAGACCTTCCAAATCGCTGCCACGTCGACTCGCTTCCGGTGAGAAGACCTCGAGAAAACAACAACCAGAGATCCCCAGCACCAACTTGATCCCCACCTCACAACTGGGTGATGCGAGAAGGGTCTCAGATTATGCACCCATATCTAATCCCCAATCTCAACGTCTACCTAAGTCTCGTGGTCAGGATGATCAAAGCCGAAGTTGCTCTGCGCCTAGCCATCAATTGACAGACCGAACCGATCGCCTAAAACCAGACGCAGGAACCAAACAACTTGATCGTGAGAAAGTTCGCAAACGAGATCCTCAGAGCCAAGCCGCGAATCCAAAAACGATAGATAGCCGTGGAGCCACAAGGAAAGTTTCGCGAGAAATCACTCAAACAACACGAATTGATCCTTCATCGAAGGCAAAATCTTCTCAACCGTTACCAAGCGCCACCGGAAAGGATCAAGAAGAGCCTATCGTGGAGGCTGGGGCATCCCTTCCAAGTAAGGAGATCACTGAAGCTCACCAAATTGAGTCTGAATCTGTGTTAGGAGATCAAGGTACCCCATCCAATGAAGGACCTCGTCTTGAATCGCACGAAGAAAAGCGCCAACCCGCACCAAAACAGCATAACGTGGATACAGGGGGTAAATCCACAAAGAACCTATCGATTCAAAGCTTGACAACCCACCAACCATCTGAGACGGAAGATAGGGACAGTGTACCCCAATCAAATCGCCCTACCGTTTCTGCTGCTTCTATCACCAGTACAGTGCTCGGAACGCAATCATCCACACAGACATCAACCAAGCGGACCTTGCCTGTTGAAGGAGAGCGCTCACAAATCCCCGAGCACATTGCTTCAATGTCGACTCACCCCTCGAAGAAACCGAAAGTTCCATCAGTACAGCCTGACCCCAGCTCGAAAACAAGACGACCCTCGAGATCACGGCAACCTATGTTGCCTTCTGAGTCCAAGATCAGTGAAACTGGAAAAGGTCACACAAAAGTGAAGTCTCACAATCTAGCTCGCGCAGCCGATGTCCAAAAGCCATCGTCTGGAACGCTGTCTACCCAAGATGTTATGCCTTTAAATCTACCTATCGTCACGTCAAAATCCGGCCAACCTTGCAAGACAGTGTATCCTCAAGCTGGCCCCACCGAAAGTGGACCGAGTGATTCAACACATGTTTTCATCCCTGACGGTACATCAAAAGATGAATCGGGTAGAAGTCAGGAGTCAACCAAGGCGAAGGCAGACATCCTACCAGTCACGTCCCAGACCTCATCAAAGCAAAAAACAGCTGATCGCAAGAGTTCTCTTTCAGGATCGTTTACAGAGCCCTCTACAAATGCAAAAGTGCATGTGCCCGATTCTAGCGAACCTCACGAAGCTTTACATCCTCAAGCCGTAGCCAGTGTACAGGGAGAGACTCGTGACAACACAACGTCACGGAAAAAAACGGATGTTACACCGGCGAGTCCAAAGCATACAAAGCGTAAGCGCATCGAATCAGATGATGTAGTAGCACAACCCATCGCGCGCTCTCAACCCAGTCGACCTTCAGATTCTTCCTCCCTGCCCACACCCCCGCAACCAAGCACGCGAAGAAAGTCTCGCAATTCTCATATTCACGCCCAATCCGATTTGACAAAGGATCCCCGAGATCTATGTAGAGCTGATGTGTCACCTGACGAGCATTTGGATGAAGTACCAAAGGAGCAAGCTGTTCCAGTCGTGGATGTTATTGAACAAGTATCACCGCCCGTGAAATCGAAGCCGGCTACGATGTTCACCATAGCGCTCGAAGCTCCAACTGATCCCCCTTCCTCCCGCCTTTCTGAACCTCTGGAGATACAGTCTACGAGCGTACCTGAGCCGAGCGCTTCGACCAAGCCAGTCCCTCCACCGCTTTTGACACTTCCAAAAGCATTTACCTTCTCAGTGAGATCCGGTACTGGAAGCGGTGAGAGAATAAAGGATAAACGGGAGAAAGCCGCTCAGGCTGGTTCGAGTAATGCAACGAGCTCTCAAAAGCCGCCACCAACTCACAAGACGCCTGCAGTGTCCACTCGTCCTCCGCAACCCAAGGTCAACGCTCGACCCCGTGAAGAGTCTACAGATGTCGCCAACGAAAGAGCTACCAAGGTACGTACCTTTTTTGACTTCTTGCTACAAGTTCCGGCCCATATTCATCTTCGCTCACTCTATCAAACAGCGAACCCGTACCGTACCAACAACTGTTGCTCCAGCTCGTCCTCAGCCTACTAATTCAACGCGCCCCAAAGCGAATTCTGCACAGAGAGGGGTGGGAGCACATAGCCGGGTACGTGCAGCTATCGGGCGTCTCAATAGACTAGCACAAGTTTCCCAACCTGCTCCCCCTATCAAACGACCTCAAACAAAACCTACACCTTCTGCTCGTCCTCCAGTTGCAGGCCCTTCAAACCCCACATCGAAGTCAATCAAAACTACTTCTAAAGAAAACATTGTCGCGCCGGAACCACCTAGCACTTCATTCCAGCCTCATGCAGATCATTTAGCTGTCATGCGATTAAACTTGATGAATGAAATACGTGAAAAGAACCTCTCTAAGACGCGAAACGCTACGAATGACCCTTCAGCGTCATCAGACGTCATCATCCAGAGAAGTTCGCGCGAGAAGGGTAAAGAAAAAGCTGTCGAATCCGATATGTTGCAACCTCGCTCGCATGGAGTAACGGATGAGGCCAAGTCATCTGATCTTGTCAATCGAAGTCATCTTGAGTTGACCACGCGGCGTGGCCTGGAAGCTAGAGAACGTCCTCAAGTAGCTACGAGCAGAAATGTGTCCAATGGAAGTCGTGTGACATCACACAAGGTGCGTGCTCCCTCTTCATTTATGATTTGACGTATCACTAATACTTCGGATTTTCCGCACACAGCAGACTTCTGGTAAAACTCACAACTCATCTGGCTCAGCCTTACCTGGCTCGTCCACCGGATTTCAGAAATGTTTAAATCAGGTATGCGATCGGTTCTTTGATACCTTCAAAACTTTCCACCAGTGTTAGATCAAAGTAATCTCTAATGATTTTCTGTCGTGTCTATCTAGTGGCGAGAAGTAGAAGCAAGAAAACCACAAATCGGAGAACCTAAACCAAGGAAACAAATACCATGGAATGATGTATCATTAGTTCACCATGAATTACCGGTCAAAGATTTTAAAGAAAGACGGAATATGCCAGATTTCAAATTAGCAACCCAAAGAAGAGCCAAAGAAAGAGAAGATTGGGAACAAACTAAAGCTGTTAAAGAAAGATATGAACAACAAATTAAAGATCAAGAAGAAATGAAAAGGTTAGAAAGAGAAAGAGAAGAATATATTCAAATGAGAAAAGATCGAATTGTGAAAGCTAATCCAGTACCAGATTATTTAAAACGTTCAAATTGATTGAGAGATATACTTTTTTTCTTTCTTTCATTAAGGATTTTTTGGTGATTGGGATCTTGTAAATCTTTTTTTCCAGAGTTTATATAGGTATTTGATGTATCTTTTTAATGGTTGTTGTGCAGTTATAGTTTATAATTTGTTTGTTTCTTTTAGTTTCTTGACATTAATTCCACAATTTTTCTTCGATTTTTCTTTTTTGATTTTCTCTTTTCCTTCTTCTCTCTTGTTTTCAATGCATTTTTATTGTTTAGTGGATTTGAACTATTTGACACTTTCTGGGGTTTAGCTGATTTAATTTAATTTTTTACAAGATGTGTTGTTTGTTCATTATAAATCATCAATTGAGCTTTGATTCGAACAAATGTGAGCAAGTCTTGAATATCACTTTGACCACTCGATGAGTACTTAAACAAGTCAAGGAATATGAGAGTGATGATAATAGCGAATGTCTTTGAGTTGATGACACTATGCCATGATCAATTACTCGAGATTGTGATTCCATGGGAGCTCTGAGTCACATGGGAATCTGATATTGGATTACGTAAGGAAAGGGATTCGTCAGAAATCGGTGAAGATCACCGGGCATTGGGTCTGCAAAAACGTAGGTGACTTTTGAATAGCTTCATCGGGAAAAGGGGACGCCAGGCTATTGTTCAACAGCTAGGTTGTAGGTGATTTTTCTCTTTCATCTAACAATTTGGTCAGAATCCATAGCAGTAACTGCCTCAAGTCAACTCTCGTTTTCTTTCTTCTCCAACCATAGGAATTTTTCTAAAAAAAATAACATCATTGCTTTATAGAAATGGAAAGACGGCTATCCGATTACATTCTAGTTGGATCACGCCTTATAACCCCCCGACTTCAAAATCTTTTTTGCTCCGATCTCACCAATTGCATAAACAGTCATATGAGGATGCATAGCAAGATGCATAGGAATGATACTGGATAAAACCGAAAGAATTTGTTAGCTTTCTCATTTTCTGAAACTCGAAAATATTCCGGGTGGAAAGTACCTTGCATCAATCACTCTCAACCTTTGCGTTCCATAAACTTGTAAGTCAGGATTCACCACACCACCAAGCTCTCGTGGTAACATTGCAGCCGTACCCACCGGATGAACTGGTGTACAGAATTCGATTGTTTTAACCCGTGTTGAGACAAAAGGGAGAACATAGCCAACTCACAAACAGTGCCGGCGCTATTTGTCACATATTGGCGCCATTCTTGGTCAGTGTTGACTTGCGGACCTGGAAGATGTTCGTTTGAAATGATCGAACTCCACGATGGACTTTTCATGATGGCTCTCGCGTGCTTCGATGCCTTCGAAAGAAGCCAAAGATCGAACGGATGCCGGAAAAATCCTGTAGGTATTGGAAAAAAATGCTGGTTTTTAGTCATACCCAATATCTATCTCTCGACTTTAATTCTTCACTTTACCGGTATCAATTAGGGGTGGTTTTCTTGGATCACGACTGCTGATATGAGATGTGCCACGCGATAAAGGATATTGCAGAGCAATTAAATTCGAGATACTGAAAAAATGTCATTCTCAGTCGGCTTGCCATTTGCAACTTTTCTATGTCTATAGAGCTTTGATGGTACTCTGACTCACTATGAAGCATTGGCAGAGGGTTGCATATTCAACTAGTAGTCTCAAAGTAAGGATTGGATGATCATCAGGTCAAATTAGTTAGTGTGCTGCTACCACGATTTTTTGACTTGAACAAACTGACCGAACGTTGATTTATGAGCACAAATTCGATGGGAGTGCCATTCAGTATCCTCTCCTTCACCGTCTCGAGAATACTTTCAGGTAAGCTAGATGTGTTGGTCCGAAGGTATTCTAATCCTTCAGCAATTTCCTCCTTAGACAAAAAGGAATCAAGTGGCTCAAAATCCAAGAGTGAGATCACATGTGTGAGAATTCCTTCTCTATGATCTCTGTACAAGTTCCAAGCTTCACGTGCAAAAGTAGAATTTCTTGAAAAGTCATCAGCTGAAATTTGACCAGGACTTAGTTGGAAGACAGTCCAGGCAAGCGGATGATCCATCAAGTTAGAGCCCACGCCTGGTAGATCAATCAAAATGGGGATACCGAGTTTTTCGAGGGTCGCAGGTTCGCCTACTCCACTACGCTCCAATATGGCGGGTGAGCCAATGGGTCCTGCACTCAAGATGACCTCTTTACGAGCTTCGACGTGGTATGTCGAGCCAAGCGAGTCATATCTGACACCTTTGATGATCACGTCTCCATTTGAAGACTTTGAAGTCAACAATCTGTCGACTTCACAATTAAGTCTGACCACCAGGTTTGGTCGAGATTTGAAAGGGAAATCTATGGCACATAGCCGCGATAGTCAAGATATATAGTACATTCGAAGTCTTATGGTCAAAGACTTACAATAGGCAGTGGCGCTAGTCACCCTTTCCGCATTCTCGTCGATGGTTGAAGGATAGACATAAGGGCCTTCAACATATCCACCAAATCCATCCACCAGAGCTGGTTGATGGTGTAATTCTTTAACTGCAGGGAAATAATTTGGGAATGTTGGAGGGAAATATTTAGGAAATGAATTCTTTACTGGTCCATGAAGTCCATGCTGTTCAGCTATGAAGCTAAAGTTATTGGGTTCGTTTGGAAATAGTAGCTTTTCGGACTCTTTAGAAGCTTTGTCAAACTCAGTCCATCCCCTTCGATGACCAAAAAAAAATTCACCAATTAGTGGGGTATCTAGAAATCATACTACATATAAGACACTTACCAGCCTGGATTGCCTAATTGTTCTATGGCGTCATAATCTGCTCTGGATGCTTTGCTACTGACGAGATGATTGAGCGCTGATGTACCACCCAAAACCTGTAGATAAGATTGAAATTGAAATTTAAAAAAACGTGCTTGTTATAAACCAATGAACCTTCATATATCCCTCAATCATCTTTCTCTTCACTTACTTTTCCCAATGGGTAGATGAGAGACTGATTACCGGCCTTCTCAAGTGGAATAGTTGTATAGTTCCAATCCACTGGACTAAGAACCGCATTAACTACAAGTAAATATGAAAGGTAAGCTTGATTCAATGGTAAGACGAAACCAAAATACGTTTACTGAAGAGACCAGGAACAGAGATTGCCGTGTTATTGAGTCCATCACCGCCAGCCTGAATGAACAGATCTTTTGTCAGTTCACTGATGACTTTCATATTTTTCCTACTTTTGTATCATGGTCAAACGAAATCATTCTGACCTCAAGGACTAGCACTTTGATGTTGGGATGTTGAGACAATCGAGATGCCACTGCCAGTCCTAGGATTTTAGAATACGGTAGAGATGAGTCACGAGATATATGAGTGGAAAAAGATCTGGGATAGTCTTAGTAAAGGTTAAAGTAAACTGACCACCAGGTCCACCACCCACTACTATATAGTCAAAAACATCCTTTGAGGTTTGATATGACTTTTGGCAGAAGACAGCTTGGTTAGAAAAGGTCCAAAGCGAATAGAAATAGCAAGATGATATCCAGATTGAGTTTCTCAGGTTCATAATTCAGGAGGGTCCCTGACACTTTGTACGGGAAGTTGAGATATATCTTTTACAATTTTTGGGAGCAACTCTCACAGACGGTAATCAAGAAAAGAGGTTTATTTGATAAAGATTTGAGAATTGGATTGTGATTCGATGGAGATGACTAACCTATTGAGAGCCAATTGACCAATTTATACTTGTTTCTTTCATTAGAGGCGGCTTTCTAAGATGCTGTGTGTGCCCAAGATACATGCTGTGTCAAACAGCCACTCAAGTTGCTGTGTGAATGATAAAATGGTAGATTACAACAGCAAAGTATGAGTCAGTCATCTACGAAGAACTCGATCCAAAGTCTAAAATAAACATCTGATCAGCTCATGATTGATCGACTGACTCAAAGATCAAACATTCGTAATGTCCATTCACCTCACTTGCATTGACGTCACTTTTCTATGCAAGAATATTCCAAAGAAATTCATGTGAATGACTATATGACTCAATCTGAAAAGTTTTGAGAGAGAAGTACTTTCCATTGGTGCGTTGGACTCTGATTACCTTTGGTCTGGTACCCTTATTCAAATCCAGAAATCAGCTCACATCAAGAAGATTATTATTGTATTTATACAATCATCAAACTACTCATTTGGTCCACATGCATGATGAATTGATCAAGGCTTCCGATAACTGGTTTGTCAAAATACAAAGAAAATTATAACAGATGATGTTGAAAATATCAAACATGGGGTATGAATTGCGAGGAATCAGTAGATAGCAGAGTGGTTGTGAATCGGTTACCGTATGCGAGAAAGAGTAGACTTTAAGATCATTGGTTCTACCTTGAAAAAGCTGTGTGATGTCAAGCATCATAGCATATGGTTTATTGTACGCGCTGTGCTTTCAAAATGTGAGTGATCTTTTTGTGTTGGTGCCCCTAGCGCCGTTGAGATTGACCACGTAGATTCAAAGTATACATCTTCGTGGTTCGATGAGAAGAGCATCGGGTCATACCAAGACATAAAGGCGACTTGCCACCTCATCAACTACCCAATCGAGACCTTCTTTCAGATTGGTACCGACAGTAGCACTACAAGGTAAAATTTTTGAGCGATGGCTGCTTGGCCTGTTAGACAAGTCCAGAGCCTAAAAAACCATCCAAAAAACGTTATAACGTAGTACCCAAACAGATGATGATGTGGATTCAATGCATACTTTTTCGATCTCTTCTGGGGTCAAAGAACCCGAAAGATCTTGCTTGTTGGCAAAAATCAAAAGAGATGCACCGGCTAACCGCTACAAGGAATGATCGGAGAAAACCAAAAAAAGAATGGAAGATTTGAGTTAGTAAGTCAAGATTTAGAAACAAAAAATCAAAGAGCGAAATGCTAACCTCCTCTACTAATAATTTGTCAAGCTCTTTGGAAGTCTCTTTTAATCTTTCTCGATCCACTGAATCCACCACCCAAATGATCGCGTCTGTTGCTTCGAAATAGTTTCGCCAATAGGCTCTCAAAGTACTCTGGCCACCCACATCCCCTATAATCGAAATTCCATCAGTATACTTGGCTGGGTCAACGAGGTGATGATGAAGACTTTGTGGCAAGAATGTCGACCGTACATATGTTGAGGGAATAAGATCGATGGATGAGAGTATTGATATTGAAACCGAGAGTAGGAGCAACAACAGAGATATCCTGATCAGTCAATTTCTTGACAATTGTCGTCTTGCCGGCATTATCTAGTCCGCTATCAGTTTTATGCATGTTCAATCAGTCTCAAGGAAATTTCAAAGCGTGATAAAATGAATAGCATCAAGGACGCACTCCTCATATGCGTTACGCTCACAGCATCAAAATCCTCATCTCTCGTTCCTTACGACGCTGTTTTCGAATTATAGTAAGTAATCCCATGTTGGGCGATTTTTGTTGATCTGTTATTTAGCGATTGTTGATTTCAAAGCAATGCTCATTCGACGTCCATCCAATCACATGGATCTTTCAGGCCTCCAGCCGCCTCGGCTTCATGATCTCATCGGGAGCCGGAGCCGGGTCCTCGGGTCACGGTGACGGACCCCGATCCTAAAGAATCACATGATCGTGACATCCACTTTTCATTTTTTCTCTCCACAAATCATGCTGTGTTCAGTCTTCATTATTCGTGAATCGTGATGGTGAAGATATTTCTTTCGTATCTATTGTAATGATCTTTAGGCTATGTGGATCATCTTGAGTGAATTTGGCCGAGATACTATCTTTGTAAGTTGAAGGTTCAGTGATATTTTCATGATGCAAAAGTCAAGAGTAAAATAAATCATCTTGATAGAAAATATGAGACATGATTTTGGGGAAAGGAGTTACAAATTCCGAACGATTGACTGACAAAATAAGACCGTATAGGAGGTGGGCCGAAAACAGGACCCACTATGATTGTAATGACTAGTTTGTTAAGGTTATGATTTGCACGGATTTCCTGTCTTCTATTTGAGGGCGCGGTAGACGCTTTTGCAATAGGGCTAGCCTCAAGAGGGGCTTATTCAAAGCTTATTCTCTTGTCCATCCTGGCTGTGAGATTCAAATTCATCAAAGGTCCCTGAATATGTACTGTGTAAAAAGTGCCAAATACGCATAGTCCAGACCTTCCAAACACAAGGATCAAAATGGATGTAATGCCTCACCACTGATTCTACGTCTTTCACGCATTTCATTTGTTTTGCACTTCAGTCAACAATTCGGCTGCAAGATTTTGATAAAAAAATGGAGAAGTAGAACAATAAAAGAAGAATACATTTCCCTTCAGTCAACAATCATCTCTATCACTTATGTTGAATTGAGTTGCTCTTTGCCCGGGGTGTAAGCTGATACAATATTTGGCTATATTTTGGAGTCTGACACACCATTCACGACTCAGACGTTAGGGAGTGATGCAAGATACATCTCAGCGTCCTGTGAGAAGGGCATCCTCGCCCGGCGGGATTCCTTTGTTTGACATATGGCAACAAATGCTAGCCTCTCGAATCTCTACACCCTGATCCCAACGATGATAAAAGAGCCGTCGCAAAGACGGGCACATCAGGCGGAGGTTTACATGCACTGACGGGCGAGTAAGTGAGAGGATGCTGAGAAGTTCAGTCACTTGTTCTCATAGTATCAAGAAGGCATCACCTTTGAGAACTTATTCGCACGTCTCTAACTTACAGTTGCGCAATCCAACAGTTTTAGCGCTATTTTGATGTTTAGTCATGTTCGGCGGTGGAAACTGTTTCACCTTTTTTCTTGTTTTGATCATAACTTGCACACATCCGACGAAATATTCAAATTTGTCACCTTGAAGTTGAGCTGATCCAAGCGGCGTTATTCCTTCACCGAACTGGGTGTCCAAAATTCAGATCTGTCCAAGGTGTAAACACCACCTGTATTGTTATCTACTGTAAGTTACATATGTACCTGTATGTACATGCACCCTTGCCCCGCACTCTTGTGATTAATTCGTAATCGGTCACCAGTCTGACCCCATTTAAAGTCGTCATCATCAGCTGACTCATCTCGATCCATTCATCCCTACTCCCTCTTCGTCCACTTCTTCCTTCCATCCTCCAGACCTTCAAGCCTTTACCTTATCGCAACTGCTTTGCCCAACTTCATCTTCCATTTCTACCTTCTCTCCTTCCTCTGATTCACCTACTACCTCCTTTGTCAAGTTATCTGTTGTTGCGTTGCGCCTTATCGTACACTCGTAGCAACCATCGGATAGACATCTCTAAGCTTACAATCTATCATCATGCGCTCTGCTCTATTCGGCCTGGCCACTGTGGCTTTGGCCAGCTCTGCTTTTGCGAAACCCATCAGTGATGAGGATGACAGCCTTTATGCTCCTTTGTACACACCAACTCCGCCACCCATGGACGGCCCTCTTTCTCAACTCGCCATCCAATCCGGTCGTTCTCCCGCCGATTATCTTATCAAGGATAGCTACATCGTTGTTTTGAAGAAAGGACTTCATGACAGGCGTGTCCGCAAGCACAAGCGTGTTGTTCAGAAGTTGTGGTTTCAGGACCATCAAATGCGCCTCCAGGCTGAATCTTTGGGTTTGGGTGACCTTTTCAAAGGCATCAAGCACCACTTTGATTTGTCAGTTCACCAAAATCTCAATCTCGACTGTAGTGTGGATGTGCACTTGGACTGATAAAAGTACTGACTTTGTCGCACTTGTCTTGTAGGAGCGAGCATTTCAAAGGTTATTCTATCCACGTTCCAGAAGCGTTGATCAAGTTGATCCGTGCCTTACCCGAAGTCGAATATGTCGAACGCGACTCGAAAGTTTGGATCAATGACCCATACTTCACTTCTACGACTGTTCCTGTCGTTGAGGGAGACTCCGTCTCAGCCTCGTCAATCGATATCGAGCGAGGTGCCCCATGGGGTCTTGCCCGAATTTCTCACCGTGACAAACTTAGATTCGGCACCTTTAATGTTTATCCTTACGAACACGCTGCTGGAGCGGGTGTCGATGTGTATGTGATCGACACGTGAGCATTTCTGCTGTCCAGTCGCAGAACCCACTCGATACAGGATCCGGATCATTTATAATTTCTTACTTGCTTTTCAGAGGTGTGAACATCAATCACGTCGAATTGCAAGGAAGGGCCACGTGGGGAAAAACCATCCCTGACGATGAAGACATTGATGCCAATGGTCACGGATCGCACTGTGCAGGTACCATTGCTTCCCGCCGATACGGAGTTGCCAAGAACGCCGCAATCGTTGCCGTTAAGGTGTTAGGTTCCAATGGTGTGTGCTCATCTACTCGTTTATCCTTGCCAATTGCGGCATGTTGAAATATTACGATTTATTTAGGTTCTGGTACCATGTCCGACGTCGTTGCTGGTGTTATCTGGGCCGCCGAGACAGCTGCAACAAAGGCACGCACGGAGGCTACCAAGAAGGACTCGAAGCACAAGGGCAGCGTTGCCAACATGTCCCTTGGTGGTGGCAAATCTCCATCCCTTGACCAAGCAGTTGACGCGTAAGTGTAATTCTAATCGATTGGACTGAGATTTGGTCTTGAATTGTTTCTGGTATCTCGATAGCGCTGTCACATCCGGACTTCACTTCGCTGTTGCTGCAGGCAATGATAACCGTGATGCTTGCAACTACTCTCCCGCCGCCGCCCCGAAAGCCATCACTGTGGGAGCTTCAACCATCTCAGATGAACGTGCTTATTTCAGCAACCACGGTAAATGTGTCGACATCTTCGCCCCTGGCCTGAACATCAAATCTATCTGGAACAGCGGACCCGAAAGTGTCAACACAATTTCCGGAACTTCAATGGCCAGCCCCCATATCGCCGGATTAGCCGCTTACTACCTTTCTCAAGGCCTCAATTTGGGCGAATTAGGGCTTTTGGAAGAAGACGATGATGAATTCTCACCTGCCGGCTTGGCTCACGACCTCAACCAATACCTGTCTTGGGGTTCAGTCAGCAGCCAGGGTCAATTGGCTTTCGGCAAATTGCGTGAGGCGATCGGCTTTGGCGCTGCTCGTCCTCACCCTACAGGTCACAAGCCTCTTTCCACCAAGATTCTCAAGAAAGCCATGATCATGCTCTCTACTGAAGGTGCACTTGCCGTAAGTTTCTTTTTAGTCTCATATGTGACCGTATCGAAACTGACATGTCTTTCAACAGGACTTGCCCGGTGGAACTGTCAACTATTTGGCATACACTAATGTTACTCTCGCGTGAACAGATGCTTCCCTGAGTATCTTGTCTCAGTAAACGGGGAATGAATCCCATGGTGTAGTCGTTTAGTGTTCTGCCTCTCGTATATCAGTAGCGGCATTCTTCCTTACCCTCGTCGTTTTCATCTTAACTGTACTTCTTGATCTGTCGCCTGTCCTGTTGTTACTCTACATTTTCCTTTTATCAACTATGGAATAAACTCCATCGAAGCACATTTGTCCTATCCCATTTGCCGATGTGTTGAGAGCCACCTGAAGTGATGGTGCAGTCCCGGTCAGTCTGTCACATGTGAGCCTCTGACTACATATGAGAATCAAGTTTCCATTGGCGTGGCATTGCTATCATGCGCTACCCAAGGTTCATGTGTTGTCATATGAGCATGAGTCTGATCTACATACATATGTACAAAGTTCATTGTACTACTCGGACTGATGAAGCGTATCGTTATCAATCTATTCGGCAATGATGAATAAGTTGCCAAAACCTTGAAAACAAATAAGAGGTGAGACGAATGTATCAATCGGTAAGACCTGGCGTGACAGAGCTCAAGTGCCAACACGCATAGTCACGCCGTCTCAACACCACACCAAGGATTTTACTAGACCCAGAGCTTGTTTTATGTATTCATCTTCTGAATTGATTTGTGGATCAACATTCACATAGCATCAGTGTTGCAATGAAATTCAAGTCAAGTTTGATATGATAGTAGAGTTTGAACTCGCAAACTTCAAATAAAAACAAGTCCACAACCCGGTAGAGGAGTAAAGATCATAAAGCCTAGCTTAAAAAAGTACAAAGACTCGGTCCGATTTTCTCAAAAAGCCATGATAACTCTGATCCTTATCCTCTGAATTTTGGAATCCTCTTGGGTCCACCTTTTTTCTTTCTAGACGATTTGGAAACTGGTGTAGCCTTTTTGGCAGTAGCTGGTACAGTAGCGGTTGAAGCATTACCAGTAACTGCAGTACCATCAACAGCACCACCAGCTGCTGTTGCTGCCGTCTTGATAGCCATGCAGGAACCGAAAGGCCTACAAAGAAATGAAAACCAAGGAAGCCATGAGCTAAAATTCTACAAGATCCCATCTTAAAACACAGAAATTATTCACCCAGCAGGATTTTGTACTCTTGCTAAACAAGTTGATTTATCCGATCCACCAGTACAAGTAGTACCAGCAGGTAATTGAACCGTCATTGGATTATCTGATTTCTCACCACCATCTGCAAAGTTTTTGGTAATTGTTAATGGTTTAAAAGCGTTTCCTGTACCGGTTGTATCTATAAAAGCTGTTCCTGGACCACCACCATCTGATCCTGCATTTAATTGTCTCCAAACTATATCAACAGTCTTCGAAAGATAGAAGCAGGCATATGAAATTGTGAGTTGTAGAACAAAAAATGATTGAGCGATTACGAGATAGGTAGATAGAGGATATAGACTTACTCCATCATCTGCTGCTGTAGCAAAAGTCTTTTGTGAAATGGCTGCTGCCATCGAAGTTGCGATGTTTGTTTTACCGCAACCTTTTACTGATTTCAAAACTTGAACCTACAGAGATCCAAAGAAAGATAAAGATAGATCAATTTTGAACACGAAGAGAGAATGAGATCTTGAGTAAAAATTATTCACATCTGCTTCACTTGTAGAAGTAGATGAAGAAACACCAAAACCGTTTTTAGTTGGATCATTGTTTAATTGAGTAACCATTCCATGACCATAGGTATTCTTCATATGAAAAAAGATTATAGAAAATCCGATTGATAGAAATGATTTAGAAAACATTATTGAAATTTTATAGTCTAATTGATATTGTAATTAAGGATGGGATATATTGATCATTCGTTTTCGCTCAGCGAAATGAGATGAATTTTTTAAATACGGAGTACTGGAAGATTATAAAGGATCATGTGATTCTTTCAAAGTTCAAATATGAGGAATAAAAAAGGAGAGGAGATTATTATTGTTATGGGCAAGTTGAAATATAGATCCATTGGAGTTCAACGAGCACAGTGTGGATGATATATAGACGAAAGCCATCTTGATTATGTAGTAAAGCAAGGTCTTAATTCCCTCAGTTCAAGTGTTGTATATGATTAATGATGCGCTCTTTGTTGAGATTGACTGTGGATGATCACTTCAACAAAGTATTAGTCCCAGAACAACAAGATTAACCCAAGCGAGAGTTTCTAGAGGTCATTCTGCCAACATGATGCTTAACCTCGGACTTTGATTAGTCAAGACTTCAAGTGTTTGCTAAGGATTTTGTGGGTCATAAATCTGTTAATCTGTGCAACAAGATTGATGGAGGTGCTCATAAATTCGATGGGGGTTTTATGTGCATCATGGTATGGTGTAGTGATGGAACTTGAAGTACTTTTATTGTGTGCAATCAAAGTGGGAATTTACTGCAAGGCTGACGTGATTTGTACCTTTTTCTTCGGTTTTGCTCAGCTGTACTGTTCATCAAATTTGGTTTAGGGTGTTTTGATTTGTAAAATCCGATTGAACGACATTACTTTTCCATCTTCTCACTCAAATCCCTTCAAATCCACTTCACCTCATCAACGAGAAGCAACAAGAGTCACTCTTGATTTTATCTTCACCAATCTATCACCCATTTCCAACATGACTGTCGAGCCGATCCAGGTCTTGATGCTCGATAACTATGATAGGTTCGTCTTCTTCTCTACCTACCATATTCACATTCACCTTTGATTACCATACTGATGCCCAAGCTGCTTTCATTGGTGTTCCTGGTGAATAGTTTTACGTGGAACTTATACCAATACCTGAGCTTGCTTGGTGCTAATGTCACGGTGGTCAGATCTCAATCTTGTACACTGGAAGAATTGATAGAACAACATCCATTGACAACTCATCTGGTCATCTCACCCGGTCCTGGTCATCCTACTACCGATTCTGGAATCTCGATGCCTGCTATTTTACATTATGCTGGAAAATTACCTATTCTTGGGATTTGTATGGGATTACAATGTATTTATACTGCCTTTGGTGGTGTAGTAGATAGTGTTGGTACAATCGTTCATGGTAAAACTAGTAAAGTCTTTCATGATCAAAAAGGACTGTTCAAGTCGGTCTCACAAGGAATCGAATCTACTCGATATCACTCTCTCGCTGGTCAACTTGGTACTCTTCCAGATGATTTGGAGGTCACAGCTTGGTCAAATCCTAACGCACCCGATGAATCTCAATTACATCCCTCAAGCTCAATTATCATGGCTATACGGCACAAGACGTTCACTATTGAAGCCGTTCAGTATCATCCGGAAAGCATTCTGTCTGAAGAGGGCAAGCTCTTGCTTGACAATTTCCTAAAGCTCAATGGTGGATTGTGGGCGGACAACTCTCAGTCTGATGTGTTGAAATCACAAGCATCTTCCTCGCCCACCAACGCAACTCCATCATCTTCATCCTCTCTTCCTACGATACTTCAATCCATCTGTCGTCAACGGTTGCTGGATATCATCGAAGCTAAAAAGACGCCTGGCTCTAGTCCAAATGATCTCAAACAAAAGATTAAACTGCACGTCGCACCCACTCAATTAGATTTTTATCGTCGGCTAAAACAAACGACGGCTCATTCGACCCAATCTGGCACCCAATCTTCTCATGTTGCACTTATGGCTGAGATCAAACGCGCATCTCCCTCCAAAGGTTCATTTGTGACTCCAACCACACCTACTCCGCCCGAGATCGCTCTTTCATATGCTATTGCTGGTGCCTCAACAATTTCAGTACTCACCGAGCCAACCTGGTTTAAGGGTACACTAATGGACATGCTATCCGTCCGACTCGCTCTTGAACATATGCCTAATCGGCCTGCAATTCTTCGCAAAGATTTCATTCTTGACACTTATCAAATTGATGAAGCACGATGTTATGGAGCCGATACCGTTCTTTTGATTGTGGCATGTCTTAGTGAAGAAAAACTTAAATTGCTATTTGATTATTCCAAATCACTAGGAATGGAACCTTTAGTTGAAGTCAACAACGCAGAAGAACTCAAAGTAGCATTAAAGATTGGTTCACGAGTGATTGGGGTCAATAACCGAAACCTGCATGACTTCAATGTAGACATGTCTACCACCTCTCGGATGGTTCAAGCCATTTCTGAACACGATTCCAATTTTACAAACCCATCTTCCTCTACTTCCGGAGTCATCATGTGCGCTCTTAGTGGTATCTCCTCCAGAGCTGATGTGGAACGATATGTACAGGAAGGTGTTGGGGCGGTTCTCGTTGGCGAGTCTCTTATGAAAGCCAATGATAAATGCATGTTTGTACGAGAGCTTCTCGGCACTACCCCTCAACCATCTTTGATCCAAACTCCTCGACCATGTAACCCATTAGTGAAGATTTGCGGTATCAAAACACCTGAGATGGCACTTTCGACTGCTCAAGCTGGTGCAGATCTCATCGGGTTGATCTTTGTCCCCAAAAGTCGTCGATACGTCACACCTGCTCAGGCTACCTCAATTATTCAGCATGTCCGATCATCTCTCTCGCAGGCTTCTTCACTGACCGACCACGCCGAGTCCAATCCTACTCAGCCATCATCTCTACCAACTGACTGGTTTGAACTTCAATCTTCCCAAATTCAATCCTCACCAACTCATCGAAAACCAATGTTTGTAGGCGTGTTTCAAGATACCCCATTATCAGAGATCTTGAGCATCATTGAACAAGTACCAATAGATTATGTTCAACTTCATGGTCATGAACCAATTCAATTATCAAATTTCATTCCAATACCAGTCATCAAAACCTTTCATGTCCGACTTGATACAACTATTGAATTTTCTAATTATATCGATCTCTTTAGACCGGGTTATCATTCTTTACCTTTACTTGATAGTCAAACTTCAAATCAAACTGGTGGTACAGGTGAAGTGTTTGAATGGGATTTACTTGAAACTATTATACCTAATAACAAATCAAATGAAAATCAATTAAGACCGTTTGTTTTGGCTGGTGGATTGAATTTAGAAAATGTTAAAGAAGCAATTAAGAAAGTTAAACCTTTGATTGTTGATGTTAGTGGTGGAGTAGAGAATGAGAAAGGAGAAAAAGATTTAAAGAAAGTGAAAGAGTTTATCTTAGAAGTTAAGAATTCATTGGTGGTTTGATCATTTTTTTTTCATTTGCTTTATAAAAAAATTTACACATCAGCTTGTATATTTTTTCTGTTTATTGTTTGCTTTAGAGTTTATGGTTATACAAGTCATCGTTAATTGGTGGATCCTGCACTCCATTATCTCGCGTCTAGTTTATCTCCTAAGAGATGAAACCCTTTCTCTCCCAGATTAGTCTCTGAGCGAGAAAGGGTAGTTATGTGGGCTAGAGGCCCTCTCAAATCAGATGAAGATTTTTGAGGGCCAGTTTCTAAGAGGAATTTATTCTTTTTGTTTGTCAAGAAGGGTTTTACTGCCTTCTCTCGAATGTAGAAGAATAGTTCCTCTTATAAAAATGAGAGCAATGGAGAGCCAGAGTCTCCCAACAGGAGACCTGTGCTCTCCTGTTAAATATGTAGGGAGGGTGGGTTGGACAAGAAAATTATATCTTATTAGCTAAAAGCTAAACAATTCTTGTTAATTCTAGGATTACGGGATCTTTCAGAACTAAGATAACGGATAATTTCAGTTGTACTTCAAGGAAGACTGGTTTAAGGAAATGGAAGATGTAAAGTGAAAACAGTCGGGAAAAGGAATAGGAAACATATTACGTTCAGCTTGGAGGTCTATATATTTCTCTCAACTTGTGCCGCAATCATAGAGTTCATAAAAATGACGTAATAATTCATATGACATTTTCTGTGAGGCCGAAGCTAAGACAGAGAATTTGTTATTTCTCTTTTGGGAAATAATAGGCCAGGCTGTTCTTCCTTTCCCTAACTTTGTCATCCTCCGTCTACCTCGTGCACGCCTTCATGGACTCGCTCCACACATCGTGCATTGTGTAAAGTCCTAAGATTTATTATTTTCCCACTATGCAAAATGATTTTGATTTTTGTCAAAAATAATCAAAAATGCTGTGTTGAAGAATGCAGTACACTATGGGGAGATTCTGGCCCCAAGAATGGGCAGAAAGTTCTGACAATGGTTGGGTCAGAAAATCACCCAATATTGGCCTGAAAGTAGCTGGTAAAAGGTCTGAAAACGCTCTGTGGGAACATGCTGGATACCACCTATTGCTCACCTCAAGTCCATCTGCAAAAGGCCTGAAAACGGGCTTTCAAGAAAGGCTACATATGTCCTATGGCTCAAGCCTCATTTTCATTGACAGTCAATTGCTGATTCCAGGTGGGAACAACCTCTGTACCAAACTAGTTGACAAGGCGCACCAACAAGTGGGGCACCTGAGTGTTCTCAAGATGATTTCACAGAACAATTTGTTTTGGCCCAACATGAGCAAAGAGGTTGTGCACCACCTAAAGTTGGGCAAGGTGTGTCAGAAGACAAAGAGCCACACATCCCTACCTAATGGACAGACTCCTGAAATCCCTCTCAAATCACTTTCCAACATTGCCATCAATTTTGTTGGCCCACCACCCAAGATTAACTCTTACAACACAATTCTTACATGTACCTGACAACTCTCTGGATTTACTAGACTCATCCCGGCAAATCAATCAGACATTGCCAAAAAACAGCTTCCCAATTATTTCCAGCCTGGTCTGGTGCCTTTGGCTTGCCATCTACAATCATCAGTCACCACAACAAGGCATGGTTGTCAAGATTTTGAAAATATCTTATGGAACACCTCAACATCTCCTTCCACTGGTCTTTGGCTTACCACCCACAGGCGGACGGTGAGAGTGAGAGGACTAACAAAATGGTTGGACAAGTCCTGCGTACCTTCACCGTCAGGCATCAATTCTGGTAGCTGGAATCTCTCCCGGTGGTTGAGTTTGGCATTAATAGCGCCGTAAATGTGGCTGCAGGATTGCCTCCCTTCAAAACTATCTTTGAACCATGTCTGAATCATTCTCCCTCTACCAACTTAAACAACAACTCCCCTGCTTCTCTTGAGACTTGTTCACGTCTACGCGAGGGAACCTGGGCTCAAATACAAGACAATCTGTGGGCTAGCCTTGTAGTTCAAGCACTCTGTCACAACAAGTGACACTCAGATGTAACAGTCAATATCAAAAACCGAGTTTTACTTGATTTGGGGGATTGGTGTGATAGACATTTGGGTGGGGTTGATAAATTGAAAGAGCGGTATGGAAGCCCCTATAAGGCCCTGGATATGTTCAACAACAGGCAAAGCATCCGTCTTGACTTACCCAAAGGCAACAAAGTGAGAAAAAGTGGGTTCTTACCTTTGTATGCACTGCCGGGCCTTGTTGTGAAAAGCATTACCTCGGCCACTCTGTGGGCATCAAATTGTACCTCTGTGTTACACCGTTTATTTTACAGAATCATACCAAGGCAAGACAATGGGACAACCACACAGCAAACCTTTGTTTTGTATTGTTTTTTTCCTCTCCTTATTTTTATCTTTTATCTTTATCTTTCTTTGTTTTTCTTATTGTTCATCAACATATCACTTTAGACATATCAAATAACATTTTACAATCATAGATTTGTCCTTTTCTTCTTTTCTTCTTTTCTCTCTTTCTCTTATTTTCTTTGTTTAACTTACTTTTCAAGAGACAGGAATGCACATTGACTCAACTCACCTCACATCTACTCAAGTCTCTTTGTTGGGGGGGGAGAATGTAATGATGCCTACATCATAACACCGTAAAGCTACATACACATAGGCTTAGGACCCAAGAGTGTTTCCATATTTCTTTTGGAATCATCACACACAAATCCTGACTTCTTATAGAATTTTGAGCTGATCTTGTATTCGTTATCTTTGGAGCTAGGTGAGCATTACAATTATATACAATTCTATTTATCTCTTCTATTTCTCTTTTATTATCTATTGTATATTGTTTCCTTAGGAAATTTTGAGCTGATCTTGTATTCATTGTCTTTGAAGCTAGAAATAGAAGACACATACCCTGGTTTTAGACATCCAAAGTCCACTACATGGCACATGATCCTCAGTTCCTGCCAAGAGAGAGCACTTCAAAGATGCCTTTGAGTGAGGACATATCAGTCCTTTGAAAAATCACCAGGAACCTTTATGTTGGCCCTCAGCCACTTCCAAGGTGCAGCACATTGCTTGATGGCATGGCTAGTCATAGCCAATTTATTGGACCCACACGCGTCAGCTGCACCTGAAAAACAATGCTCACATGAACATGTGTTTCCCACACACCCCAGAAATTCACAATTCATTGTGGAAAGGATAGTCAATGCCTCCAAAAGAAAGCATACTTTCCACCACAACAAAAGTGTGCCAGCATTTAGTGGGAATTGACCTGACATATAAGCCTCAATTTCTTGCTCAGTATAATTTTCAGGTCCAGATGCCATTGAAGCAAAGGCATTATATGTAATCATTGACAGTAATGTCTTGCTGATCAGATATGAGAACTGTGGCTGTGTGACTATCTATTACAGCCAGAGCTTTAAACCTTGGACTATTGATCTTGGTTTCTTGCTTTTTGAATTTTTTTGGCTTTTATAAATATGAAAATACTTCAAAATCACTTTAAAGCACCAATTTATTTTGGCAAATCATCCATGAGCATCTAAATGTATATCTGTCAAAAAAACACTCTTTATACACAACATATGCTGTGAAAAAAATTATATAAACCAGTTGTGTAAGGTTGTGTAATTTTCAGGCACAATTACTGGGACCAGTCTCAGTTCATGATTGTGAACTGAACAGTACACAATCAGTCAGTTCATGATTGTGAACCTGTCCTGTCACCTATGTGAGAGCTTCAATTGTGTGGGTTCAGGGTCATTATGAAAAGGACCACATGTTTCTATTCACTGCTGTTGCCACCTTAACCTCATGTTCACCTTGCCAAAATGTCTGAAAAAGGTAACCAAGTAGACATATCCTTATCTTCTGACGAGTTCACTGAAAACAGCCCTTCTACCCACTTTGAATCCAAAGTCAAAGATGAATACAACTCTGATGTTGTTATTGAATCTTCTAAAAAGGTGTCTTAGACTTGGCACTATTTCCTACTGGAAGTGGAAAACTTTGAAGTAACCACACAAAGAGAAGTTTCAAGTAACCTTTATCCTTGTTGATCAAAGCTTTGCTTTTGGTATCACTTCCAGAGGAGGAGTTGGATGAAGAAGAAATCTCTTGCATTGACTTGTTCCTCCTCTTGTTAAGGATTAATTTCAAACATCTGGAAGGTTCAATTGATTTATTCGTTCCCCCGACTAAGGAGAAAGCAGTTCCAGCTTGATCCTGCGTGACTGTTAGAAGGTGCTTCGAGTCAAAGTCCACCAGTAGCACTGGTGGAAGAATTTGGTGTGATATCAAGCGGAGGTCCTTCAGTGGCATTTGACATTTTTGGAGATTGGGATGGAGAGATTTCTCTAGATCTTGACGCTTCTCTCTTAGCTCTAGCCAATGCTTGCTCTTCTTTCTTACAATTTCTTTGCTGGGTTTTGATAAATATGCTCAAGATTGGGCTACCCTGTTGAAGTTTATGTTTGTTTGATGACTTTTTATGAATTGGATTGGATGATCATTGCTTCTTCATACACCTGGTCGTGGTAGAAGCTAAATAGAGTTTGAATGACAAATCTAAACTGGATGTTCTTCTAAATAATGATAAGAAAAAAACCAAAATAAAGCATTAAAAATCAAATGAAAAAAATATAAGATGGTGGTAAGAGAATGTTAAAAGAATAGGTTTGTTTAAGAAAATTTCTGTGATTATAGTGTTAGAACTGAGAATAAAGATAAGAAAGAGAAGAGCCTTTCAATCAGCACAGATGGACAATGGAGAAAAGAGAAATTGAGAGCGTCAGGGAACAAAGCACTGCTTCCCCTTGCTCATATATATTCCCTCTACAAGAGTGTCCTGAAACACCAACCAATAGGGCTGGCCCAGTCAGGACCCTAACATCCACTCAGGCCAAATCAACCACCCCACCTACCAAAATTGGACTTGGGCATACCATTTCAAGCTTGGGGATGTACCATCAATTACAAAACAACATGCGGACACAGCTTGTGTTGTCTCCATAGACTCCAG